AGGGTTTAGAGTGCCTGCTGAGCTCTGCACAGCTTAGCTTAGACTGTGTGGCTACCACAGGTACCAGTGACTAACAGGGACTCGTGTATTGGTGGCTGCTGGGATGGGGAATGTAAACATGATCTATTAATCTGTTGATCAGGTGAAAGTCCTGTGTGGGTCTGCCAGGCCTTGTCTTCAGTGGCAAAGGGATGTTCTACTTTTATCTGCTTAACTTCTTCACATAAACTCTACAAAAGATTGAAAATACAAAGGACAGTTTAGCACCAGTTGAAATTAATGCAGTATTGGTATCTGGCTTTTTTTTTCAACCAGCTGCATGCTAAGGTAGAACCTCTAAAGCCTCGTCTTCCCTGGGGAGTCATACTGAGGGCACTTGCCTACTGTGGTGCTCTGTACTCACTCTGTCTTTTGGTGTTAAGACAAAAATGACACAATGTCCAGAAGTAAAATACAAAAGCAGAATGAACAAAAAGGCAAGATATGGTTTATTTCCTAACTATTTTGTAACTACATAATGTTACCGAGGCACAAATGTTGGACAGTGAAAAACTACAGAAGTAACTGAGGCAAGATCAAATAGTAATTTCATATTTTCTGCTAACAATCACTGAATATGACCTACACATGTTCTGACTTGTGTAAATATTTTTTTTAGGTAAACTTTCCTATTAATAAATTGTGGCTGCAAAAAAAGCCTGCACTGTTTCTTTCCCTTAGTGTCCTCCTTCTTTTTCACATGCATTTTTGTGTTTGGCACATTACTTTTTTAAACACACTGAGTTATCTGTTTTATGGAGTACAATATGCTTGCACAGCCACAGGCAACTCTGTAGGAGACTGATTTTAATACACTGCAGTGGTATGGTGGCTTCTCAGACTGGCACTTGATGCTTTAATTCATTTTTCTTGCTTTTTGTTTCTATTACTTAATGAAAATATGCCCTATCAAAATTTATTTATTGGAATTCTGTTAAAGTTTTTTTTACTTACAGCATTTTCACTGGTTTATTATAATAATATTATTAATAAATATTATAATATTTATTATGTATATTATAATATGAAAACCTATTTGCATTTATCTCTGTAGATGCTGGTATCTAGCTTTAGTGTTCTATTTCATGAGTTTTTCCATCTTCATGTGTGTGCCAGGTGCTGAACAAGCAAGCACAAAGACAGGTCCTTGCCCTGTTGCACATCCTCAGCAAGAGAGGGCAGTGAGGAAAGGAGCTCACAGCTAAGCGGTTGCATACATCTGCTCTGAGTAGCCACAATAATTTTGGTTTTGTTGCAGTTTTTTAATGCATGTTTCACTGCTGAAATTTTGAACTGATAAATCTTTTTCATAAGATCATGGGAGGGTGCTGTGTGTTAAGCTCAAGTCTGTGACCCTTGCCATTTTATAAATAAAAGTGACAAGAAGCCTCTTGCCTCACTCAATAAAATGATCAATCACAACAGTGATTTACCAATTTCATATGTCTTTATCTACATCAAGGTTCTCTCTAGGAACATGTGCTGTATCAGTCAGTGAGAAATGCAGCGCAGATACTGGATAGAAATACAGTTTGCAACAAAAATACATTCCACCTAGAAATGTATTTTAGGGCAATTTAGTGATCAGAAATGCAGTATTATTATTAAATATTACAGCTTTTATTCACATATTTGTTAACATATTTTCTGGTAATGAGTAGGTTATGTAAGAATGGTGTAATGATTGTAAATGGAGTTCAGGAATGGGGTCAGAATCACTGCAGTCTCTTCTTGGTACACAGCACCTAATATCACCTCTATTTGCAAATTCAGTATAATGACTCACAAGCACAGGAAGCCATAAACAAAAAGGTATAAAAGGAGGGCCCCTGGAATGTACTGGGAAAATATCAGAAATTATCATTTCTGTCCTGTTGTGATGTCTGTCTTAAGGATTATATTAATAATATCAGTAGTAAGAATAATGTAATAACAATTATAGCAATATATATCTCCAGGTATGAAGAGCATCCAGAAGGATTCATGTGTAGATTTGAAAGTTTACGCTGCAATGGATGTTCCTAGTAGATTGTTCATCAGGTCAGGTTTAGATGATTGCTTCACAACTTGTGTTGTGACAGCAGCTTGGTTAAAATAAAGTCTAGAAAACTACTTCAGATGTAGAAGCCAATACAACAGGTACCTAAAGATTGGTAAAAGGAATCTCATCTCCAGAGCTAATTGCTATCTCTGGAGTGTCCTAATCAGCTCTCTATAGGGAGTCCCTGTAAGCTCTCAAAAATCGTGGTACATGTTTTATGTACAGGATATGTACCATATCCTTTATATTTTAGATATGGGTAAGGAGGTGAGAAAACTTCACTTAAATCTGCTGAGGGCCTCAATTCATTGATTATGCTCTTGATTTCACATGTTGCAGATGGCCAACATAAAAGCACAGTTTAAGAGAGCATTCAAACTTAGCTTAAACACTCTGGATACTCTGGTGGTGACAAGTAAGTAAAATTTTTAGGATTTATGATAATACTTTGTTTTCTCATCCTAAATAGATACTCATCAACATAATATACATCAATATGTTGATATATATAGATATATATACAGAAATATGTTGATAGCTAAATACATCATTGCAACTATTTGTCTGGTACCACTTTGTAGCCTCAAGTTTTTGTATTCAGGACAGAGTGATTGCTACAGTAATTCTAAAAAAAAATATTGTTGAATGTTATGGGGAAGGAGTTAATCTATAAAGAACAGGAACCAGTGCCTAGTGCTACAAGGTATATTGAAATGTATCTGTTATCTTAAATTTGCTTATGATAATAAGACCTAAGACTATCTGGTTCGTTTAAAGAGAAGGCAGAGAAATAGTCCTGTTACACAGCAGTCTTGAGGACTAGCTCTGTGTGAATAGTAGGAATTATTGTTAGTTTCTAAATTATGCCATAGATGTTTAGAAGATACATTTTATAACTTTACAAGTTTAAGATTCCAGAAAGGTCATTATTAATGTCCTCATCTTCCTCTTTTCCTAAATTATTTCAGTGATACCGGTAATAAATTTTATTTTAGTCACTGTTGGACAGATCTGTGGCTGTTTTGCTGAATATTGTATGAATATATGTGCATACATATGCATGTGAATCCCCCTACACTTACTGCAATATTTGAATGAGTGTTGATATGCACAAATCATTGTTCTCTGTATAAAGATATTTTGAAGCCTGAGTGAGTGAAATGTTTTTCTATAAAAATAGCCTATTTAAATCCAGTTAGAGCATCTTAGCATTGTTTCTATACTTATGCAAATATATTGCACCTTTACTGTAAACAATGCCTTGCACAAAGTAATGTTGAGATGGGATCGCTCATAGCACCTAAGCACTATTAAGTGATCATCCTTTATCATGCAGTATAATGTGTTTATTGATGTGTGTGGTGTGGTAGGTATACATATTTCTTTGTTATATTGTGTGGGCCCAGTATTAGCCAGTAAGAACAATGTATTATGCAAAAAGTTAGAAGAATCTTTTAAAAATGCCTACTCTATTAATCCAAAGGAATTAGCATTTGCTAGATTGCCAGTCAGACAAGGTTTTACAAGAGTTATTGTCATTTTGATTTTCGGATGAGTCACTTGCTACATTGCTCCCAGAGGCACCTCATTATGATTCAGTGAACAGCATATAAAATTGCTTAGGCTTTCGGGGCTCCATGGAAAGCGAGTGGGGGTTGCGGTGGCTCAGCGTTGTGAAGCAGCAGCATTATGCTTAATTGACACCTTTGATGTAGCCCTAAGACAGCACCTGCACCTCCCACTGCTGCTCAGAAGACGTCAGCCTTACGCAGAAAAGGCTTCTGCTTATGAATCCTGCATCGCATTCAGCTCACTCTGTGAGCAGCCCCAGCTATCCTTAACTAATCCCATTGCTTCTCAGTTTGGCTACAGCTTGGCTTAGTACAGAGCAGGAATTTTGCTGCTTGCTCTTATCAGGTTAAACAGTCAGATTTTGTCCATGTTAGAACTCATAGAAGGTAAGTCAAATGCCTTGTTGATAGCCCTAGTATTTAAATATTCTCCTAAGATTCAGAATCTGGGAATCTGATTTCTGTTCTTTTTATCCTAGCACTTTGCAAATGTAGACTCTGATAGAATATTTGCTTGTTTAAGAATATTTACATGTCTATGTGATACACGCTTCATAGTGTTTCTGTCAGTGCTTCAATGTGAATATTATTGATAGCCTCTCGTGTGGTTACTTTGTAGTAGAATTCTGTCCTCTGCTGGCATTGTTTTGTTAATTTATTGGATAATGTGCTGTGCACGTGAAGATGCTTCTATAAAGATAGGCACTGGCATATGTGAAGAAACTTGCTTATTTGAGAGAGGGATGCTTTCCTGTAAATCAGACTGGAGGAGTTATATCTAATTCATTTGCCTCCAGAAAGCCCTTCTGGGTTAAGTCTGAGGTGGTGTTTGGGTCAGATAGTATCGCAAAAATCTCTTCAAATGGTTAAGTCCTCACTCAAAAAGTGAAAAGCAGGCAGTAGGTTTGTTCTTGCAAGCAATACTGTGTTTTATTTTTAGTGGGCAGCACTTCAAGCCATAGTTAAATAGAATGAAAATGTTTATATATTTTGTCTTTTAAGGTTAACAAAGCACCTTGTTCCCCATTACTTTCAGTAATAGAAGTACTTTACTTTTAGTAAAGTAAAGGAACAATGAGTTTGAGAAAATATGATCATGTTCTCTGCCATTGACTATAGTCTTTTCAGGTTTTTTCATTATTTGCTTTCACCCTGTATAAAAAATTGTCTTTGTGAGCCAAAAACTTAAGGAAATAATTATTTTTTTGAATTACCTTATTTAATGTTTCAAACATTAAGCAAAACCAAATTAATCTGTTCAACAAAGACTGAAGAAAAATGTTGATTTAAATATATTTTCCCTTTAATAATGCCTTGTGTTCATTCTTTTCAATTTCTTGTCCTTTTAGTGAATGGAACCCCTGGTAGCCAACTTTCTACTCCTCGCTCTGGGAAGTCTCCAAGCCCATCTCCCACCAGCCCAGGAAGCCTACGGAAACAGAGGGTAAGGAAATGAGGAAACTGATTTCTGAGCATGGCTGGGGAGAATCCAGCATAGCCATTATCCAATAGCCTTCTCCCTTCTGGTCCCTTGTGTGTGTGTAGAGCTATAGGGTGGAAGAGCCTGGCTACAGTCCTTGTGTTTTTAAAACAACCTGAAGTGGAAGGCAACTGTTCTGTGTCTGTCAAAATGCTAAGTATACTGAGAACTGGTTTATCCTTGGGGGGAAAAAAACAGGGGTTTCTTTCCTTTTTCACAAAACTTTTTGTTTGTTTGTTTTACCTTCTTTTTCCAAATATTTCACAACTGAAAGAAAATGTCAAAGAAATCTCTTTTGTTCCTAACTCACTGTGGGCATTGTCACTTGCACAGCCTACAGACTGCTTTGATTTTGAAGCAAGGTGAAAGAATGCACTGTGGAATTTAGCTGTGATATCACAGCCTTGTGCAGTGAAGATACTATCAGCACCAAGGCACGTGAGACCTGTCCATCACTTTCCTGGCGAAGAGTTGATAGTTGCTGTAGGTTCCCCCTAGTTATCTGGTATGAGGAATCTACAATATTCCTAAGCTTCCAGAACTAAGCTAATGCCTGTGTTACTGCTGTAACCCCTCTGATAAAATATTACTCATCCAACCCAAAAGCTCCACGTGCTGATTGAATTAATTTTATCTGGTTAAAAGAAATAAGACTGATGTCTATGTATTTTTTGCTATTTTCTAAACTGTGGTCAGTACTTAATGAAAGCATCCCTGAGGCAGTAATCTGTATCTCAGACTTGTTTATAAACAGAGTTTGAACTCATGCTTTTTCTACCTTTTCAGTTTTTAAACAACGATACAATTTATGTCTCTCAAAATTAAGAAGATTATGTACAAAATTGGTAGTGCTTGACTTTAGGAGCTGGTGCAGAACTGATTCCCCAGATACCCAGATCAGTAATAGCTGTAGCATGACATGACTCCCTTCTAGCCTGCAGACCATTCTTTATATCTGATGTATGCCAGGGAGCTGAGGAATGGTGCATGTCCACCTCCATCTGGGATACAGCAATGGGTTTCTGCCATGACTTGCTTACAAACACTGAGGCTGACTGTGATCTTGCAGTGTAGGGACAGCCAGTGAGCAGCAGCTGGAGCCTCAGGTTAGTGTCAGGGTTTTCATCATCCACTACACAGAGTAAAGATGTAGGTTCCAGTGGGTAAGCTGGTGCTAAAATCTTCTTGAATGCTATGTCTTCCCCACCTGTTTGTTCTTGCTCTCAAGGCTTATTAATGAATCATTAATAAGTCACTGGAGAGGGAACAAAGAGTCTTCCAAATAAATTATACATTGGTGATGTGAGGCCGTCTGTTTAGAAGGATGATACCAGTTTACATTGGATTTGTGTTTGCTGTAAGGCTGTCTCTTTTCATTGGTAACTTTCCTAAACTTACTTGCTCACCACTGAAGCTCTGCTCTCCACAGTGAAGACATGTTTTTCTGCTAAGGTTTGTGGATGGGTGAGTGGGAGCCATGTGATCAGCACCATTAGACACAAGAGGTTTCTAGGCACAAGATTTCTGACTTTCAAATGTGAAGAGGAGAGCAGATGGGCTTCTTTTTATGTGTAAGTGTAATAGGATCACTGAGTGCCAGTATTATGGATGCAAAGTGCTATGTAGCGGTAACAAAATCAGACTGCTAACTGTAGAGAAAATAAATATTGAAGTGTACTACAGGAGAGATAAGTCTAAGATGGTTAGGGAGTTGAATTCTCTTCTCCAGTATACGTATTCAGTCCTCTTGACCTCAGTAGGGGACCTTTCATACTTGTCTGGCTTTATTTTGGACAGATTTATTTTTTTTACCACATGAAGCATGGAATATATTCATGTAAAAATAGATTGCAATAATGTAAAATGCATTGTAATAACATTATTTAGATTACAAAATCAACTCTGCAGTTCAGGGATGGAAACTTAACACTTAGTCTGAGAATTTATTCCATCTGCTTTCATGTTTAGCTTGTGAAGTGAATGAGTTAGAAGTTCAGTGTAAAAACATATGATTGTATCATTAAAGACTATATTGTTCATTCCAATTAGTAAATAAGGAATTAAGCAGTGCTTGAAGATAATAATTTCCTTGTTAGCAGTATAAGTGGTGTTCTGTTTAGTTTTAGTATAGATTTTTGTGTCTTTAAATTTAACTTAGGTTATTTTATGTACCATATTGTCATGAACCATATTTGAACTTAAAACATTTTGTTTTATCTTCAATGGCTTCAGCTACAGTGCTGACAAGCCAGTTGCAGGGTGAGGTTTATTCCCTAGGAGGTTGCTGAAGTCCTGGTATCATGTGATAGACATACGAGGGAGAAGAGATGCATTTCAGTTCCCATCTTGTCACCTGTATTGAGAGGTGAGGTGTTCTTGCCCTGAAGGAAGAGTGTTGGCTGCTGTAGCCATGAGCTGGAGTTGAAGGTGGTGGCTGGTTTTCTGACTGCACTGTCTTTCTCTCTTTACCTGCACTTTGAGGAAGCTACTGTTTTAGAACTGAAATAAGGTGCTGGGTCCTGGGGACACCAGCTCAGCTCTGTAATTTGAGGTGTTTTGTGCCTCTGTCTGTGCAGTTAGAGTTCATGTTCTCTCATGCCATCAACATGGGGTGCCAGTGGTAAGAACTGAGTCTGGAAGGTGATGGGAGCACTTCCTCTAGCCCTTGCCTTAACTAATCAATCAGCTCTTCAGCATCCCCATCCAGTGCTATGAGGGAGTTGTAGACTTGGGACATCACAATGCCCAGGGGTCAAGGTAGGCTGCCTGTGTTTTTCCTGGGAAGTACAGCTGAGAGGAGGTCAGGCTTTTGAATCCAGAGGCCCCAAAGCAAGGTGCTTCCACAAAGGGAGGGATTTCTTCCTAGGAATAGTAACTACCTGTGGAGTACATTAGGCAGCTTAAAATAGGGATTAATCATCTTACTTACTGACACTTCATCACTCATCTTTTTAAAAAAATGAATTCTGGCCTTTGGGGGAAGGCTTTTGGTTGATGTAAATAAGGTCAAAAATGTGACCTTACATGCTGTTACATACTTACTGTCCTGTGGTACATAGTCAGGAAAACAGTACTCTTGTAACCCTACAGATAAAATTTTGTACCCTCAAAAGCCAGAATACAAAAAAGATAAAATTTATCTGTTCTCATTTGCATATGTATGTTGGCTGAGTTTTTTCCAGAAATTCAGAAGTCAGTGCAAGTTATATTTTTATAATCTTCTGCGAAACTCAGTCTATATTTGAAGAAAGTAAGATTTGAAAGATTAATTTCATGGGTGTAATTCACGAAGTTGAAAGTGAACTAGGAACAATTTATCAGCTATCTTAGCTAACTGTCAACCAATTTTCAGCTTCTGAATATTTTATCTAGCAGACTGTGTGCTATAGTTACTCTTTTGTGCAGTTTAATTATTTCTTTATTCTTAAATAGGAAATTAAGATTCTAGTTTTAAATTGTTATGAACATAATTAAGTTTTAGATTTTTTTCCCAGAGGATTAATACATTTGAAATTCAGGTTTGAAATAGCAGATTCAAGTAGAGTTAGTGAGTTACCCACAAATATAGTTACTACTGCAACAGAGTGCAGTTAACTATGCAGAAAAGGTGACATGGCATTTAGAAAAAAATTTAAATATTTTTTCTATGTTGTTAGGAGTTGCAACCTACAGAATAAGAAAATAGTTATATTTAAGATACCTCTTTACTGATTATACAGATTGAATTCTATGTATATAAGGATTTTTTTTTGAGTTGCACATAGCCAAGAAGTCAGATTCATTCAGCAATTTTTGTCTTCTTATAAAATCTATGCAAAATAATAAGTAGATTCTCCTCATAATTTCAAGACACACAGCTCTCTGGCTAATTATAGGTAAGAAAAATTCTTTCAGAAAGGAAAACTTTTTAAGACTTTCAAGCATTTTAAAGCAGGTAAAATAGCAGATAAAATGGCTCTCAAATTGGTGAACAATTTTGTTTTAAAGCAATCATAGAGTTATGAAAGAAACATAAAAATATTCTCTAAATATTAAAATTCAGAAATACCTTATTTGTCAGTTCAAAATTCATAATTTTTTTTAATATTCAGAAGTCAGAGCAGGCACCTGGGAGATACTGTTCAAAATTTTGGGGTATTACCCTCTCTAGGAAATCAAAAGATTCCTTTGTCCTGTATGTTTTATAAATTCTCAAAGGAAATTTTAATAATTAACTGACTAGTTAGTATTCAGAATAAGATGGTCTTGTCTGTTTAAAATTGTTCTCTTGTCTAGATTGTTTGCAACATAATAGAAATGTATTTAAGATGTGATTTTCACTCTGCCAGTCTAATGTCTTCTACTGTATACATGCCCATTGGCAGAATACATACAGAATATGCATTCTAGGGAATCACCCCCCCTTTAAGGTACTTAAATCTCTGTTACATCATGCCTACAAGTAAAATATGAACCTGCATTTTTTATTGAGATCACAATTTGAAATATGTGAAGCATTCATTTTAGCTGATCCTTTTTTGTAGTATAGCCTTCAGATTTGTTCATTTCTTGTCTGTGTTATCTTATTGTGATTAAAAAAAGCAAAACAAATCCATTCAAGTCAACCCAAAAGCTGGCTCCATCAGCTTTCCCATTCTCATGTTTTCCTTGTACTTGGTCTTACAGGGATTTTTTTGTTGCAATTTGTTAATGTGTTCTATATGGAGAGGATCCCCCAAAACACCTTAAGATATCAAAAAATGGCTATGAGATATGCTGGCCACCTGCCCAATCAGAACCCCTCTGAACCATCAGTTATGCCTCAATCACCTTAAAAAGACAGGACCCTATCCTGTGCCACTTCTCTTTTTTGAACTTTCATTCCTTGTGATTGTGTGTCTCGACGAGGGTTGTTGGGCTGTGTAGGTGGGATAGAGCCATGTATCATCCCATAACACCTCTGGCACTTGAGGATTGTCTGATCC